AATGACTTTTAAGGATGCAGGTGGAAAGATGACAACAATGAAGGTGCAGCAGGTGACCTTGCTTAATGGAGCACTGATGTTGTATGTTAGATGCTAGAACTGATAATACTAGGATTTCAAGAATCTAGTGAGCTAAGGATGAGATAAGCTGGACATGGGTATACACGCCCGCGTCTCCTGCTACACTAATACGGTTAGTGTGTTCTCCGCCCATCGCCTGCATTTATGCGCCGGTCCGATTGATCTGGCAGTTCGCCACGCCATGCAGTTTCAGTTTGACTAAAATAAAACAAAAGTACGAGCTCAAAGAACAGATTCCAGGAATTTTCACTGGAAAATGGATTCCAACAAGATGTCTTGCTCCCTGGTAGCAAGCTTCTTCGATATTAGTGTTGCCCTCGATCCGTTTTTATGTGTCTTCACTTCGAAACATGACAGACCGGTTATGTCTGCATGGCCCTCTATCGGTACTTTCGGGGCCGAATAGACTCCACATCCCGCCTAAGCTTTAGAGAGGTGCAGCTTGTGGAGTCGACTAGTCAATAAATACAGATCGGTTACATCGCTCGACTTAATCGTCTATTTCAGCGTGGACTCGAAATGAAGCTCCAAAGTGCCAAAGAATAATGGAAAAAAGGTCATCCGAATTTATTATCAGACGGATACAAAGCGAGACTTTCTGCTGAGGATCTCTCTGTATCCGAATTCAGAGATTCATTACGTACTGTTGTATTCCCACCCAATATTCAATGAAGACGACCAGTTCCTCGCACAGCATTGAAAAACGTAACTAGGCAGTTAAATCTAACTAGCAAACTGTACACAAGATGGAGTGTGCAGAATCTTAGATTTTGTTTTCTGTGTGATCCTTCGAGCGTCAGCGGGCGGAACGGGTTGGACCAGACTCTTTTTCACCTTACTAAACTTAAGAGAAGTGTTTGTATTAAAATAGGTTAGGTCAGAGCACGCGCTGAATGGAAGTACACACTCTAGTCTCATAGCTAGTTGGGTTGCATAAACTTTATGAAAAAAAAAGAAGCACACACAGGATCTCAGCCCTTGAAGCTTCTCATGCCCTGTTGGGTTGACGAACGCTGCAGCAGAACAGCATGGGTGATTAGTACTGCTGTGGGTACTGCTAAGTAATTGAGACTATTATCGCTCGGGACTCACGATATCAGATTCACGGGGTGATCAATGTCGAAGTCTAAAATAAGCAGAAGGTTGTCTAGCCTTTCCTCTATCGACTACTACGCACTATATACATCCTATGCTATTGCCCTGAGCGGCGATCCCGTCTTCCCTAACTAGTGGTAAGACGACGCTCGTACCTCATGTCCAGCTCCCTATTCTCACTGCTGTCTTGCAAGACCGGCCTAGACTGATTCAACTTATAGGGCCTGTTTATAATTTTATGGGATAGGTTGGTCCCGCCGCAGCCGCGCCGCTTTCCAAGCCGAAATCATACGCGGCTCTGAGTATGTTCAGTGAGAACGATCAAAAACCTTCCATGCCTGTTGATACTTGCCTGGCTATTACCTGTCTTCACGAAGTCACTTGCCTTGACTCTACCCTATAAATAACTGAAACTACAGTACACAGAATTTAATTTCTGGAAATTTGAGTGTTGCCCTGGCTGAAATAAGAAATGCGCAGTCTGTAGAGTAGGTACCCTAAGAAGAAGTTAAGGGCAGATTATTCGATCTTGCCATCGCGTAGAAGTCTTTTCAGCATTAGTCCACCGTCAAAGGCTGCTTCCTGTCCTGGAGTAGAATATACCTATATTTGATACCCTAGCGTCGTCACGTGGACGGGGAAGTAAGAGAAGATTTAGAAGAATTAAAATATAAGGCAATTGCACCTTAAGAGTGTAGCAGGGATCAAATAGCATGTCACAATAGCAATGAAAGATGAAGTGGGAGTTGCGATGGACTTGCGATGAGGGTTTATTGGCGCATATTCATTTATCTCTATTTTCCTTTGAAGCCTCACGTGGGCCATATGATGCTTTTTATAGCAACAATAACATCCGGCATTATACTGATGAAAAGACGGGAAGAACGACGATGATCTCTAGAGGAACACCTATCAGTATCCATAAAAGCTTTAACAGGGCCCAAAGTAGCATAGCCATGCCGTTAAGAAGTGAGCAAACTGGGTTCAACTCTTACCTGCACAGAAGACATGTTCCCGGAGTAGACAGCCCACGATGCCAATGTGGATATCCGTCCCAGAACGTCAAGCATATGATCATGGCTTGCTCCAACTGAGCCAAAGGGAGAGGGGAGATACTGAGAAAGGCAGAGTCTCGGTCATTCGAAGCGATGACGAATAACCCGAAAGATATAGCTAGAATTACAAAGTGGATACAAAAGGAAGGAAGGAAGGCTAGAGCAGTTTCGACTGACGCTTGAAGTCGAGGCCACAATGAGTGAGAGAGAGGAAAGTAGGTCCATATGATCTCCTACCAGTAACAGAGAAGTGGACGGTATCCGCACTGGACATAATAGTGTTAGTGTACTTCGTGAAGGTAACACAATTTTAAAGTGTACATAAATTGAAAAGGTTGGGGGGGGGATTTCACTATAAAGGCTTTCTCCTATACAAATATTAGAGTTCGTAGACACCTGCATGGGCCTTAAGGCGCCAAATTCGGCTAAAGGAGAGCAAATTAAAATAACATCCGGCAACGTCAACAATAACATCACACCCCGCCAAAATCTCCACCCATGAGGAGTTGAGGAATTCTGATGTACTGGCACCAAAGATATTCACACATCTAACCCCGTCTTTAAATTTCTAAGCCAATATTGATCCTCACAACAAAAAAAGGTTAAAAGGTACAAATGTAACCATAAATATGAATGGGGGAAGGTAATTTCCCAAGATTGCCAACCGTATTAAGTCTTGAAAGTCCACATTTAGCCACTTTCTTGACCCCGGAGGTCGTATATCTGGAATTTCTAATTTGAAAATTTCCAACAGCATCTCGGTCATAGCTGCCCTTTGGTAGATATAGTAAGACGTATATATGCACGATGGATATAGTCGTTCTGGGCCATAATACTGTCGTCCACTAAATCTGATTGCCAGCTAACATACCGAATCTGCTTCCTCACCAATTTTCTAAATCAAAATATAATTTGTGAATTTATGACCACTTTAATACAGCGAGTTACATCCGCTAGTATCATTTCTCAAGTCTTCCGCAGGGACTACAAACATCTTATTAGTAGTGACTACCTACCTAAGGGAAGGCCTGTATACCCTTTGCATGCCCTAACATGTCTGGATCAGTCATCAAAGAACTGTGTAAAATATGTTCAAGCTTTGACGAATTGGAGCCTGCGGTCCAGCACGGTGGATGAATCAGGTAAATAGGCTATCCAGCACCTACTCCGAGAACTAACTCAAACAGCACACGGCGGAATTATAAAGCCCAGTTATGGAAATAGAGCGACATTGAAAATCTCAGTTAATCCAAGCTTTGCGAAAAAATTGGCCCCACAAATTTATTTGCTGACTGGATACTGAGCGAACCCCGAAAGAGCAGGCTAAGGTGTCAAGACGCAACTGTGAGCCATCCGCACAAACTTCCCTACTTGTAACATACCCCTGAGCACATAAAATTACATCAGCTCTTTTACAATAGTCCAGATTTCATTTGAGAGCCGGGAAATAGTCCAGCGTGTACCCTTATATCAAGCCATCAGATAAACAGAAAGGTGGACCTTGAGCACTAACGGGCGAGTTGGTATATGAGACGCTCGCTCATGAAATTAAAATATTCTGTTGCGTAAAAGGCTTGAAGTATGGAGTTTATGTTAATTAAACAATCAGGAATGGTGGTCTAGATAGGCAAATTTTTTTATCAATTCACAGAGCCGGGAGCTCTAGAATTGATTCAATCATTTTCCTTGAGTAATGGTGACTCCGTAGATATATTGAGGATGACATCAAGTTACTCCTACGATGCTTTTGATGTTATGTTAGAGCTTGCACTGAGTAGACATCGTCGTTGTACATGGCCGAGTGCTTCAAGCCTCAGTGTGTTCGCACCATATTTGATCATGGAATTAGTACCAAACTATATTAGCAATTTTGCCTGTTGATTGCCAGCCTGAATCCAGGCTTACGCTCCTCCCCGAAGACAAATATTGACTGATTTCATTGTAGAATCCCTGTATTTGGAAGGTAAACTAAGACGAACCTAAACAATGTCGGCAAACTGGACTGGATAAGAAGCTGCCTCTTAAATTAGCCTCTTTTTGCCAGCGACTCGAAGGCGGTCAATCATAGTCCAGACTTACCAACTTCTTCTTCCTCATTTCTCAAACTCGGATTAAGCTCTTGCTTTACTCACTTGCCTGATCTTCGACTGAATTGTGGTGTAGTAGCTTTGACACTGCCTGGGCCTTTCATCCGTCCTCACTTTTACTACCTCCAGCCTCAGGTCTACTCTAGTCAATGTAACTTTATTACGCGAATCAATTTGGTACTGGCATCGAGCTTGGGACTAAAATCATGCAGTGCCTCTAGTGGTCCGATCATACTCCGACGTTGCCGATACTCTTTCACTTCTCCCAACCGTCCTACACCAAATCGTCAAAAGGCAGTAATTTATTTCGCAGCTCGATCTGCATTACCAATCCAGGAACCTTATATTGAATTGTTATCTTAATTCTAGCTAAGGTGGGCAGGCCGGCCTTCTTCCCTTGGCAATATTCAGCACATCTTGCTTTCGTCTCAATTTCATCCACATCAAAGCTCCTTCGCTTCTACCTCGCAGATACTATTCCACACCAAACCTTGATCTTGATTTGCACAATTTAGACATTGAATTAAACCTTCAGTGCTCCTCCATAAATTAAGTCCTACTAGGAAACTGATGCTTCAGTCGATATTGCCCTGTGCGCAAACTTCGAAACACGAGGGACCACACCGTATCTTGTGATCCATGTTTAATTGCACCTGCTTGTGAAATTGCAGGAGAAAGTAGAATGGAATCGCCGGCCGATTATGATGAATGTCCACTGGATAGTGACGATATATATCCCTGCAAGGGCTGTGGTGATGTACTACTTCTCAAACTGAACTCATCAACATCCACGCTAACCATTGATCGTAGATCCTTGAAGAAGGAAAGGCTTTTGAGCTCGGTACGTGATGCACTTGGTTCCGTATATGTGCATTCCATCTTATGATATCTTGCACTCATACCTACCTACCTACCCACCCATCCTTTGCTCAAGCAAAAACATGGAGGAAGTGGCTTACCGATGTAGTCAAGCTAACGAACTAACAGCTGGGAATCGATGGCATCTCAACTGCTTTCGTTGCAATACCTGTGGGACTCTTCTCGACTCGGATGCAAACCTTTTACTCCTTGGTGATGGCTCGTTAATCTGCAATAACTGTACCTACAGCTGTAGCGCTTGCAACAACAAAATCGAAGATTTAGCAATACTCACCGGTGATCAAGCGTTTTGTGCCTCGTGCTTTCGATGTCGAAATTGCAAACGCAAGATTGAGAATCTTCGATATGCCCGCACTTCGCAGGGTATATTTTGTATGAGTTGTCATGAGTCACTCATGGCAAGGAGGAGGAAAAAGTCTAGGATTACAGCAAGCAACAAACAGAAAAAAGAAGATCAGTCATCAGTACAAGTCGACAAGCTGTTACCTGCTTTACCTCCAAATGCTTCGCTCCAGGGAGTTCTCTCGGTAGACCGCCAAACCCCCGATCCTTTGGATCCTGACGCTCGTACTGAACTTTCTCCAAGGCCTCGCCAAGCGTACTCACAGAATAATTCTTCTTCCCGGAGCAGTTCAAGGCGGCCTCATGAACGAGTACCAGAGTCGATGCCTGTAGAAGAGCATCAACTGGATAGTTTAAAGCTTCCTTCCAAGACATATCAGAAAAACCGTCACTCTGCAATCTCTCAGGCATCTGATCTAAATGAAAATGATGATAATAGAGAGAGTTTTCTCATTCCACTCACTCTGGATACCGTATCGACGCCAGAGACCTGGCAAGATCCATCAAAAAAGTCTAAAGAGAATAATAAGTTACTCGAAAAGGATTATTTCGCCCAATCAAGGGGAAAATCTAGTCATCAGAGCTCTACTGCGTCGACTCCCCACATCGCTCTCCAGGACCGTGGCCGCGAGTCGTCGAATGAGACATATCAGATAATCGACAGCCTATGGAAAGCACAGTCGAGTGGAAAACAAACAATGGGAAAAAAACAAACCGCTCATGTCGGTGGTGATGATGCTCGAGCACAGCCAGCTAAAACAGTGAGTACAGTAACCCCGAGCAAGAATACACAGAACAACAAAGAATTCACATTAAGCAAGCCCCCTCAAGGAAAAAAGCTCGGAACAAGGTGCGAGTCGCCTTCATTAAATCGCGACACAAATAGCCTGGGATCAGTAGTTGGTGAAGGAATCTCAGAAACGAATTTACGGAGAGAAAATACAATGAGACCCGAATCTGTCAGATCAGCCCCATGCGAGGAGAAAACACTTCCTTCGAGGTCCTCTCTAGAACTAAGGGCAAGAGACGATTATGAAGTTCGCCCCTCCTTTGAATCACCTCATTCTACTTCTACTATCTCTAAACCCACATCAGGTGGCATTACCAGATCCAAGTCAAGGAGAGAAATGACAAGTAGCACTTCTAGTAGAAACACTACTGGACCTGGAAACTGTTCACCAGGCAATAATTCTTCTCCTTCTTCTTCATCGTTAGATAGTCCGACACTAACTTCGACCGGGCACTTGAATACAGTATCTATATCGTCAGATCCTACATCTCTAATTTCAAATGATTTAGCGCCCCCTACAAATGTACCAATACGACCAGCACCTCTACATCAGCCACTGAGTAATACCTACCTGTCACCTAGAGCTCCGCCAATACCATCACAAGCTGCTGTTCTGGCTGCTAAAGAGATAACAAACACACTAAATATCGCGCCAAGTGCGCAGGGCTTACCTCGGTGGAGCCAATCTGGCGGAGATTTCACAATGGATGAAGATTTTGCTCGTATTCTAGGCGATTCAGACGATCAATCTCAGTCTCTACTACGTCGAGTATCAAATATAGTTCGTCATGGCAAAAATACAAGCGAGGCCAGCCTTGCTGGAACACCTGGACATGGGCGTAGTGCGAGTGAAGCTACGACTCGAACAAATAATTCTCCTCATTGGCTAAAATTATCAATATCCGAAGATTCTATCCCTAACGATTCCAGTAGCTTGTCGCCCGATCAGCCTGCACTACTACGTAAGCAACTTCGTCACTCGGAGCAACGTGTTGCAGAGCTAGAGCACAAGTTCTCAAATGAAAAGGAACTAAAATCTTTGATCAAGAAGGTTCAAGAAAAACGTAAGACTGTTTCCGTCTTAGATTCTCAGACTGAAATTATGATACGCCAATTAGAGGTCTTGACTAAATACTTGGAAAAGGCTCGTGATACAGACTTACCTCTTGAAGTTAAGGATCTAGAAGAATCTGCCATCAAAGACTTCATCATTAAGATGGAAACTATTAAGCAGTCGGTCACTGACAGTATCGAACAACTATACGAGGAGCGCAATAGTTTACTGGAAGAGAGAAATAATATTGCGGCTGATCGAGATCGAGCTTTGATGGAGTTCGAACAGCTTTCATCGAAGAATGCACAGCTGGCAGACATGAATAACGATCTAACGTATCAAATTCAAGAAAGATTCAAGACTCAAACTAGCTTTGACAGTCCTAGAATGCCTAGTAATGGGCTGGGCATTCACACCCTTCCAAGTAAAGATAAACTTACTTTATCGATGCATTCGGACGATACTACGTTGCGCCCCGTCACCAGCAATACAATTTTAGGCTCAGGAAGCTCGTATCCACAGGTCATGGAGCAAGACTCTAGTATAGATCCATCGGCTGTGTTATCTGCACCTCACCTCGTTAACATTCGCAAAGGCCAGGCCACCAAAAAAACATTCAATTGGAAGAGAGGACGCCAAACCGTTGCCAAAGGGGTAACCAAGGGTATTAAGGGCGCCTTTTCTTCAAATCAGCAGCCAAATCAGCAGCTAATACAAGAGCAAGCCAGGTGGCAATCCCAGACAGGCGACGATATTGGACTACCATACAACTTAACATTAATGGCTGTAGACTCTTCAACGTCTACTCAGTCTATGGGTACATTACGAAGTGTTCCAAACGATCAAAGAAATCAATCTGGATTCGGTCTTTTTAAGAAATCGGCTACCATGTCCAAAATTTCCTCAAACGGGAACCACGCAATGTGCGAGAAACCGTCGATCCTCTTTGGCTCCGAACTAGCCGAACGAGCTGATTATGAACGACGCCAAATTCCGAGTGTGGTTACCCGATGTATCGAAGAAGTCGAACTACGCGGAATGGATATTGAGGGTATCTACAGAAAAACTGGTGGTAATAGTCAAATCAAGGTCATTCAAGATGGATTTGAAAGAATGGAGGACTTCGACATTTCTGATCCAAGCTTGGATATCACCGCAGTCACGAGCGTATTGAAGCAGTACCTTCGCAAATTACCAACACCCTTGCTAACATATGAGGTTTATGACCGTATTCTAGATTCAAACTGTAGGTTTTCCCGTCTAATGTCAGGTCTGTGCTAAGACAATTGATAGCTATCGAGGATCACCACGAGCGTTGTCTACATTTAAGGGACACATTTAGTATGCTTCCACCCAAGCACAGGGACTGTCTTGAGTTCTTAATATTTCATCTTTCCCGGGTAGCTGTGAGAGACAAAGAAAACTTGGTAGGGTTAATTTGTTTCAAGTTCTTCATTTCTACATTTGCTAAACAATCTCTTAGATGAGCTCTAAAAACCTTGCCGTCGTATTTGCGCCCACTATCATGCGGGATAACAGCATAGAGCGTGAAATGATTGATATGCATGCAAAGAACACTGTTGTCCAATTCATCATCGAGAATAGCTATGATATATTCAGTGCACAATGAAACTTTAAAGTCTGCAATTCCTTTCATTCTGATCCTCTCGAATATTAGATAAAACTTTTGTCAGAGATGTAGGTTGCATCTTGCGTTGTATGCCCTGGCATATCTCATCATATTAACTAAACTCAGCACATTACTAATTTTGCTGAGGTTCATTTAAATAATGTTCCTACGTGGCTTCCAAGGAATTTGTCACTCTTAGAGCTAGGACGTAAGAATTTTTAACATTTAATCTGATGCCGAGAAAGGGCAATTTTCCAAAGAATAGCTGATTCATCGGTTTTTTACGAATTGAATTATGGGATGACGAAAAAAACGCCTGTGATGATTAATGAGGTTTAAATTGAACTGTTGGACGAAGACAGGGTTATTCAGACCTTATTTCTGGTAGCTCTTCTTTGATGGGGATTGAATAAATCAGTTTGGGTTATTGAGCTAATGCTAAATATTTAAAGGCTCAATGTACAGGGTATACATTGGGTGGAACTTATAACAAAAAGTAAATTACAGGTTCTGGATGGGAACATGATCTGTTGAAGCTGGGACTATTGGAATGAGAGTCAAAAACGTAAAATCTGGCTGTGTTCATTAAAATACCAAGCGAACAGGGAAAATAATGATCCCAATACCACGAGCCAGCGATGATTTACATTTTATGGCCAAAGTTTAGTATGTATTATGTCATTCCGGCCGAGATCTATAGCCCTAAAGATAGCTTTGATTATATTCGCAGCACACTAAAGTCCGGTCGTGTGTTAGCTACTGATCACAGGGGAATTGCCGCAGTGGCACTGGGATACCCTGGTTATAATTGACTAGTGCCGATGAAACCCTTGACTAAAACTCCCTGGCGATCGCTCTGTTACAATTATGACTCGTTATAACATGATATCGTTGTGGTGTTCTCTGATGTAGTTTGGGTGGCCTGGGCACATACTCCACTTGTGAAGGAGACACCTATACAGCATATCTCGCGGAGAGTAATAAATTGATGATGGAGGCATGTCTGGATAACCCAGGGTTTTTGAGACGTTCCCCTGGGTGATTATTCACAGATGAGGGCTGACTTGGTGTGAAGAAATAGCTACCATAACTTCGCAGTGGTACTTACAAATGGAATCCGAGGCATGAGTGCTCTTCCTACATATTAAGTCATCTATCATGTAATTTTCTGATATCGTGTCACAGCTAGATATCTGCATACGCAATTAAAATGTGATGCAAAAAAAACGAGATATCGTTACAACGTTTTAGTAGAGAGTTTGATCACCTGATATTTCGTACAAACATACTTAGTTACTTAATTCACTAAATGAAATCTTCACGCTTTCCTCGCACATCAAATGTGATATCGTTTTATCTCATATATTAATTGAACCAGTTATCTAAGGTCTCTTGCCTTCTATTACGCTATGCCTGCTGCTGGAGGCTTCTTTCCATGCACATGAGCATGGTAAGCTCCATGGAGTTAGCATCCGGATCGTGCTCCTTGAAACTCAGCAGGCGCTTAAGGAAATTTCATGCTTAATTAATCGTAGCAGGCGCCTCCGCCGCGCCCTCATCCTCATCTTCCTCTTGATTCTCCTGCTGTTGTAAAGCATGTGCAGCAATGATATCCATAAGCGTGACCACCTCCACCTCCACCTCAATAGTCGCGTCGTCTTGTCTCTAATCTTAGTCACCAATTAACAAAAGATCTACATAAGGTGGATCCTGACTTCTAACAGGCATGATGAGTCGTGTGGGGAAGTACATGACATACTTGGAATAAGACTACGAAACAGAAATCTAGGCCTTGATTAGTAGGCACGTGACTATATTCAGTCTAGCTTCAGCCAAATACAGTGATTACATTATGTGTCCGTTATTCGATACAACGATAAAATGGCGACGGCGACATCGATATATCGGTATATCGAATATCGTTAATTTGTTATATTTACTACGAGAACATGATGCATGCGCGAAGAAGACACTGTTTTGAGGCGAATATCTAGGAGGGCAAGACTGAACACCTGTAAGCGGTGTCCTCTACGAACCTGGGAGTGAAATATTCTCCCAGAGCTAAGTTCAGTAACATTTCGCAATATCAAAGAAGTTGGCCCACAAGGCAAAAATTAAAATTACTCCACCACGTCGTTTTTCCGCTCCCAACGAGTTTAACGCCTACCTAAGTCTCATAAAGTCTACAAGTACGACGAAGTACATCCTCATCCCTATGACCTACCTCTCTTCGACCTACTCTGTCCTCAGTTGACCACCAAATACGCGCCCACGCCGATATTTACACCCGACGGAGGAAGGAAAGCGTGGCGCACAAACCTGGGAGACAGTTCTTTGGGATGGACGTGAGAGGGATTGGGACAAGTTGACAAGATGATGCGAAGGACGGATATAACCTCGAAGGGCATGAGATTCCGAATTTTGGCAAGGAGTTTTTCGAATTGTGCTTTGTGCGCGCCAAGAATTCGCTTGCGAGAGTGCAGCTGACACTATAAAAACAAGCAAACGATGGATGGTATTGTGGTCCGCCTCTTGGTGGTGTTCTCTGGTAAAGTCTGAGTAGCCTGGGCACCTACTCCGCTTGGGAAGGAGACGCCCAAGACCATATTTCGCGCGTTGAAAAGTTGAAAGATGATGGAGGCATGTCTGGATAACCCAGGGGTTTTGAGACGTTTGCCTGGGTGGGTGTTCACGGATGAGGGTTGACTTGGGGTGAATAAAAAGCCGCTATAACTTCGCAGTGGTACTTGCAAATGAAATCTGAGGCATGAGTGCTCTTCTTCTCAGTTGAGTAATCTATTATACACTTATCTGATATTATGTCATAGCTAGATAGCTGCATACGCAATTAAAATCTGATGCAAAAAAAGGCGACTAGCTTTATATCGAATATCGTTTTGACGAGTCCGCACTGTACTCCAATTAAAGGACAGATATGTCAGGGCACACATGTTTCAACTCACCTACTCGGGTAGCGAGTCCACGGACCATTTAATTTTCACGGTAGTAGCACATGTTTGTTGGCTAGCGAATATCATCATTGAATTCGCTATTAGCTTGATTCCACGTCGGATGAAAGCCTAGACTGGGCTATTAAACACGAGATCTCATGGCTGTGTTATGAGTTAGCATGAAATTAAACAAAAAATTTACAAACATTGGCTAGACTGATGTACTGGTAAGCGATTCCGTCCTGCTGTGCTACCTCTCGCGATAAAGTTCCGCCAGGGACAAAAAGATCTATAAATGCGGTAGCATTGTTTCTGTCGTGGCACTAACCTCAGAGTAGCGGATAGTTTCGTATGTTTTGTTTTTATGTGTTCCAGGTGGGGAACTATTCTCAACACCTGTCAGTGGTGTCCCCTACGAACCTCCGGCTCCCCCTTTTTTTTTAAATCATTTAATGTGTATTCAGCTATCTAGCTACGACACAAAACCGGTGCTATGTAAACTTGTAGGATGACTCTTTTGACGTTAGAGACACTCATACTCTGGATTTCATTTGCAAATACCACTATGAGGTATGCTTGCTTACACAAACAGTCGACCCTCCTCCGTTAGTACCCACCAAAGGGAATATTATAACCTTTGGTTATCCAAGCATGCCTTCGTCATCCATGCATACCAGCACCGCGAGAATTGTGGTTGTGTTTTGCCGGATTTGAACCAGCGATCTACTGTCTCGAGTGGGATATGTGTCCGAGCTATCCAGACTCTACTTGGCAGACCGGCCAAGACGATGTACCACCGCACCATCCAACCATGGAAGTTTTAATAGTGTCGCCCGCACTCTCGCAACCGAAGACTTGGCACGCACAAAGCTCAATATGTAAAAACTCCTTTCTATAATTCAAATTTCCACGCCCATCGAGACTGTATCCATCCTTCGCATCATCTTGTTAACTTGTCCTGAATCCTCTCACACCAATCCCAAAGAATAGTCTCCCAGATTTGTGCGCCACGCTTTGCTTCCTCCGTCGGGTGTAAATATCGGCGTGGGCGTGTATTTGGTGGTCAACTGAGGACAGAGAAGGTCGAAGAGAGGTGTGGTCATAGGGATGAGAATGTACTTGGTTGTACTTGTAGACTTGATGAAGCTTAGGTAGGATTCGATCTTTTTGGAATGAAAATTTGACGTGGTGGAGTTATTTGAATCATTGCCTCGTGGGCCAACTTGTTCGGTATTGCGAAATTTGACTGAACTTGGCTCTGGGAGAATATTCCGCTCCCAGGTTCGTAGAGGACACCGCGTACAGGTGTTCAGTCTTGCCCTCCTCCGGCTCTCAATGTACAGTCTCCAGAGCCGATATTGAGTAACAAAGTTCTTACTTTGATGAGTATTCCCAATCGCTTTCGCGGTCTGTATCGTCTTCATCTCTCAACACATTCCCCTATCACCATTATCATGAAGCTAACCACGATCAGATCAGATGGTAGGTTCGAAGCCCTTCTCATCACCAACCCTTAATCATGGAGGAAAAGCCATCCGATGAGTTTCCGGAGCGTACCCAGCGCCCGATACGGAGATGGTGGACTGGATCAAGTCGGCCTCAACTGTTACAAAGAAGGGAGATATAGATGAATATGCGCACCTCATGTGGTCCCGGTGTCTAGGCCTCGCCTGGCTAGGGCTGCAGGTTTTTTGAGACTTTTTCCCGCGCACGCAGTTTCCATTGCTACCATTTTTTTTGGGTAGAAGGTTCCGTGGAAAAGGTGGCTGAATTCCACGGGTAAACACTGAGCTGAATGGCTATACATCAAGGGGAATATATCAATGATCTTTCAAGTAACAAAATAGGATAGGAGCACTGTACAAGGTGTGGCTTGGATCAGAAAGGAGCCCAATGTGCTAGATAGTCATAGACTCAACTAGTACAAGAATCACCACTCACTTACTATTTGTGCCAGGTAGTTGACATTTTCCGCAGCCCCGAATAACTCAGCATGAGTAGGGTCGGCCCGGGCCAGGTTGAGTACCACGTGAGGTATATAGGCCTCAGTTACTGGTTGGATTTTGTCGTGTACGGACGTCCAAGAAACCTAATGTTTGCAATCCTGAGTGCAATCTCCTCTGCAGCTTCCGCAGCCCTAATCACTACCTAACCGGGCTCCTTTAAGACAATTAAGTCTCCAAATCTCCAAGTTTATCTGAACCCAGCGACGTTCACACCCAGCAACTGGTCATCACTATCATGCAATGTTCTCATCATCAAAGATCTTGACTTCACAAATACTGTTACCCTGGGTGTGTCTTCCCTAACTTGTTCTCCAATATCACGAACCATACCCATAGTTTTCCATACCAGGGTTTGTCTTGGTATGTGGTAGGACGACCGAAGTTGGATGACACGTCTGGGTCTGATATGGAAGTTTCGTCGTGGACGATCGATGAGTGCGCTATGCCAGGTTTCTCGCCCCCATCCCGGGTAAGACTTAGGCTCATCCGTGAATCGAGTGTATGTGGTGACAAGCCCCTCGACATTCATGAGTCGGTCAAACCTCTGTTGGTATTTTTTCGAGCCGAATACTGAGTATAGCTTATCGAAGCAAGCATTCTACCCAATCAAACTGACCACGCTATTGTTTGTATCAGAATTTCTACTCCATGTCAGGGGTGGATACGACTGACCCGTGCTTAGCCTTTGAAGAATGGTGACCGAGTGACAGACGTGCGCATGTAGAGAACTGGGGGACTAAGTATACGCCAGAGCGTGATCAAGGTCACGGACAGCGCACTGGCAAGGTGGAAATTTGAATCAGAGTCAAAAATGTGGCTCTGCATGCTTCATGGACAAGACATGTCTTGTGTCGCACAGGTGACTTAATTCTGTTACAACAGCGCTGCTGATGTATCAGCCGGCTGCACACCCTGGACGTGACTGTTAGAGAAATTACAAAATCCCATTCAGTCATTTGGTCAAAAAGATATGTACAGAGATGAAAATAGCTTCATGTCCTTGAAAGCATCCTCTTCTTGTTAGCCTCATAATTTATAAGCGTAGCTTTCTCGACAGCAGTATAATTTTACTTTTCCAGTAAATCTACTGTGTATTTGAATGCGGTTCTAGTCTATCAATTAACGTCATAGGTACGCTTAGAGATAGATCTTTTGACTCGGCAAGTGGTATACAGAAGGGCAAGAATGTTGCTGTCTGCTTTAAGTTTATCCATTAGCCTTAACTTGATGTCATCTGGCAATGTATAGATTAGTTTGATCATTCCCAAGTCCAAGTGAGATCCTTGTAACTAATCATAAATTATTATCCTACTAATTTTTTGACCTTCTCTAGTAGAACCACACTTTCCCGCCCTAGTTTACGTTGTCCATTTTTCCCCCCAGTCCGTGCCTGTGCCATTTTCCGTCGAATCCTTTCTCTTTCTTTCATTTTTTGACTCTTCTCATTCGATCTTCTTTCATACTCTATTTGCTTAGCTTTCAATTCAGCTTTCTTTTGCTCGGCGATTGCTTGCTCTTTTTCGAAATAACCAGGCTTCTTTGCGCGATGTCGTGCTGTATCAGAGGCTCTATTTGGGGGAGGCGTTGCTTTCTCAATTGGAGCCTTTAGCATTGATTGACGATCGGGGTGCAGTTGCAGAGGGACATCGGCACTGAGGGGTTCCGATGTTGGGTTTTTGATCGGGATTGTATCAACGGGCTCGCGGGCTTTCAGCTTCGCATATGATTTCTTTACCTTTGCTTTTTGAATCAGGTCTTTTTTTATTTTGATAACTGTCCAATGTGTTATTCATGAAAGTTTTAATAACTTGCAAGGCTGAGTAAAAAAGCATTACCTTTGCGTCGATAGGTTCCATCTGGAAGGTTATCGGGGCCAACCGCAAACCCTGGGCGGTGCTTCTTCGGCTTAGATCTATCAGGGTCATCGAAGTTATGTCCGTTTGATGTCATGAGGTGCATTTGTCCTTGCCGGAAGGAAATTCTCGGTCATATCCCGGAATACTTTTGCCTGTGACTCGGTATTAAGTTAGTCCGCGCCAACATCAATGCAAGCGGTGACAGTCTCGAACGGAGCTATTGTCTAAATATATTCCTCTAATGTAGGGTACGTATCGATTTCTTGTGCACGGGCAAATTTCCCTCCATGTAAATTTGTGTCAGCGTCATTGGAATGATGTTATTCATCTATTGTATGCAGTTCTTTCACTTTAATGGCCCTCTATTGACCACCTTCAGCTGTCTCAGATCCGCCAGAAATCGTCCAAACTGAGAATTTCGATCAGTATATGCACCGACATTAACTTCGTCTACAGGACCTCTGGATAGACCGCTACTTTTTATCCAGTAGGTCAACCCCTCATTACAGCTGTAGATGATACAACCTCATCACTCAGTCAGCCAGGTCCTGCATCTGAAATTAGTGAAGAATTTTCAAGGTTATAAGGACGTCGCTTTGAGAGTTCAAATGCCTATCTTCCACGAAGGCTGTAGTAATATAGACCTATCATTATCGGAATCCTCGTTTTGTCTCCATTCGAAGCCATCTACCTGTGAGAGAGAGAAGAAAAGACAAAAGATTTCCGAAGGAGGTACAAGTTTAGAAGCAGGCAGCTATCCCATCAGAAAAACTACGGAGCTTGGCAAAGATAAGAACAATGCTCTTATAAATCTGAAATGTGTTGAGTTGGTTCCGGTGCTTAATTACAGAAATTCCTCAACCTGGGTACCGAACTATGGTGTAAGCTTTCCAAAATCTAACTATATAAGAAGATATACTTATTCTGCAGGTTGAACCATTACAGCTCTGTCACCAGATGTCTTCTGGTTTTAAAACTAGTATCCCTAAATTTTTAAACTCGAACTCAGGCATTGTGTCTTTTCCACGCCAGGATGCCAACATGAATCAAGATAGACTCCCGGTAGGGCACGAAGATGAACGGTCTCGCTCTGAAATTAATGATAGAGATCACATTCAAGGTGCTCACCAAGAAAGTTCGGGAAATGAGTCTGTCGCACTGCCAAACAAGAGACAAATAAGATCGATATCGTGGTGTAGTAATCAATACTCCCAGCGTACGCCTAATTTTCACCAGAAGATCTACGCACTACCAGCAGACGAAATTAATAGCAGTTGTGATCGTCCATCACACGAGCTGTCATTGTTTTCCTACAACCCATGCTATGTGAGGAAATTCCCAACAAGCCCACTGGCTCACTCCGAGAGCAATGGCGACCTAGAAAATACCTCGATAGATTATTCAGGTACAAGCACAACAGACTCTAGATATCTATCGGGAAAATTTTGTCAGAGACTCTGCTCCGATCGTGATTCAGAGATAAAATACGATAATTGTTTAAGCTCTAGGCCTAAGTCCAATAACTCACTCAAACCTCATTGCCAGAGATTCAACATCAAAAAGTCTTCTTTATTTAATGGTGTTCAAATTCATCATGCATCTATGGTAATTTCGTATGAAGAAAGCATTATCCGCGGAAGGATGTCTACTACTCCTTCAAAACCCCTTAACTTTATTGCCCAGATTGGCGTTTTGGGCTTCGGGAAATGTAAGCCCAGCTTACTATGTCCTGCTCATGTAACGGTAAATTTCTCTGCAGTCTTCTATTGCTACGAGACAAGTATACATGGCAACATTACAGAATGTGAAAATGGGCCAAGCCCATATGTAGGTCTAATTGATCTAGAAAATAAACTATCGACTCCAAAACTTGAAACTACTCACCGAAATGATCAGTTAAACTATCATAAAGCACCAAGCTCTAACAAAACCGTCGAGATTAGTGATGTACGAGCTGAATCGGGAAATGGAGATACTCTAGTTTCAGCCTCGGAAGACAATAGATATCGACCAATAAAACATAGAGCTCCTCCAGGGGGTAGCTATAGAATACCTAAAGCCGGACAGATACAGATTATCGTTAAAAATCCCAATAAGACTGCTGTAAAATTGTTCCTTGTACCTTACGATCTTGCTGGTATGAAGCCTGGTACAAAAACATTCATCCGTCAACGGAGCTACTCCACAGAGCAGTCTGGTGCCAACTCTGCTGCTCCAAAAGAAAATTTTATGTCAAGAAATAAAACTGAGCGATCGACTCTACGCTATCTAGTTCATCTCCAAATGTGTTCACCGTCACGTAATCGATTTTATTTGTATAAGGGTATCAGGATAGTCTTCGCAAACCGAGTGCCAGATGGACAAGAAAAGTTACGAAATGAAGTCTCAATGCCAGAACCACGGTTTAGTGCTTACAAACCTGATGTTAATATTTCTGAACTCCCATGATCTATGTCTCAAATTGTTCCCACCAGGAAAATTAATGAAGACATAACTTAGATTTATCATTCGCCAAGCGCTAAAGATATGTCTTTGTGCCACGTAACCTGACTAAATATTCAGTATCTAAAAATGATGAGCTAAATCTGAACCTTTGCTAGGATCTATATTTGATGAAATTTTACCAGATTCCACCCTTCATCTAAAAATAAATCATAAATTGAAGACAACTGCTCACTTCAAATCTCGATTGTAACTATTGTTATGGATCAGGGCACTGAAAAATTAGTCTCTGAATATTTGACATTGCTCCACATTTAGTGCTGGAAACTTCCTAAAAGATCAGCAAATGTTTCAGTGTAGGTCTTAAAAATATAGCGTAACAAAATTAAAAAAAAGACAAACATAACTGCATGGCGAGGCAGCGCAACGTTATCTGACGTTAAGTCGATGATATTGGACACAGAAATCAATGCGATCGAGAATGATGATGAACACAAAAGATTTTGTGCACTACAAACCTCGGCTTATTTCGGTTGTTCGTAAGCGATTGTGATGCCGATTGTTATATTTAGGTTGGTTCAGTAGGAGTATAGCCGAGTCGTTTAAGACAAATAAAATCTCGAGCAAAATTAATGAACATAGTTACCTTCGTTGCATACACTTAACCCAGAGCATTTTTCGAATGTCTGAGCTACAGCAAACATTTTCATGGCCTCTCATTGCTTTTTGTTTCAACGAGTCAACCTGAGACCACCCCTCCCATTGTTTCACACCAAACTCAGACCAGCTATTGCACCCAGTATATATCCGTTAGAAATTAAAACATTTACATGGAGACGCTACACGCCAATAAGAAATATTTTTACCACATCAACTGACAAGATCAATTGGACCAAACGATTCATGTTTTGATATAAGTCTCCACCAAGATACTGTTCTATCTGGATATTCGGACTGCTCGAATGTATTCTGCATTAGTGAGTTAAACTTTTAACGGAGGATATCCAGCTAACCAATCTAAGCCCTCACAATATTATACTTGCTTGCACTCAGTTTGCTCTTGTCATTCTTAGTAACATTATAAGGGGCAGGCTCCTTTAATTAATTTTCCCATGCATTTTCATCCTTATGTGGGCCATCTGCTTTTAACACTTGTTGGCAGTTGGTCTTGGTTCGCTCACATTGCCATCGGTGCTCCTCAGTGCTCGCAAGGTGACATCTCGAACTGCTTGGAAGACGTCTTCGATATATTTACTGATGGTGATGAATTCCGAAATGATCGAATTGTTGTCGTGCGTAATGATATCTTGGGGAAAAAGGCTCGAGACTGCGCATCCCTCAATGTTATATATGCAAGAGGTACTTTAGAACCTGGTAAGTCTTTCCCTCAAAATTTGTCGCGTATATTTCTTTCTTTCTCAGGTAGAAGTCCACTGCTACGGTTAGCCTTGATGCGCTCAGTCAAAACCCTTCTAGAATTCCCTTTGAATCATTTTGTTGAAGGGAAGAAGGCTAACACAGGCTTGACTCGCTTCTAGGTAACGTAGGACTGTTGACAGGGCCTCCTTTCTTCTCTGCTTTAGCCGAACATCTCAATAATACCAATCTACTTGGCATCCAAGGCTTCAACTACCAGGCGTTGATTCCAGGCTTTATTAACAACGGGACCGTCAAAGATGCAACGAAAATGTAAGGCTTACTTCCCAATCAATATCCAAGTGACTGGCTAAGCGCTACCTACTTGCGAATTTGAACACTATAACCGAGTCTTAATTCGCTAATATTTATAGGGCTCGTCTTGTTACACAAATCATTGAAAATTGCCCTGATTCGTACCTTCTGCTCTCCGGCTATTCACAAGGCGCTCAGTTAGTTCACCGTGCTGTCGAAATGCTTGAACCCAGTCTTTCAGCAAGTATAGATGTTGTTGTCCTCTTCGGCGATCCCATGAATGGAACAGTGCTCCCTGGCATTGATAGTGCAAAAGTAATGAGCTTATGCCATCAAGACGATATGGTTTGTCGTGGCCAAGGTGTTTATGGGGTTAGTCCTGCTCACTTAACTTACCGACAAGATGCGCAGACAGCTGCTATGTTCACTCTCAGCTCGATGTCGGATTTGGGAATCAGCAGTGAGAGCTTGAGTCAACTGGCTGAGATTGCCAATAAAGGCATTTCTTAAAAACCACAAAATATTAATTGGGTTATCACGGGAGAAGAGAAAGAGAGAATGGTTTTACCGTGCCAGATTACCTCATGTAGCGGCTTTATCCGCCGTCGTCAATAGGCCTTTTTCATGCGCAGTTGACTGATGGTGCAGCGCGGGGTTTCGTAGCACCTAGGCGAAAAATGAATTGCTAATGTTAAATTCTTAATGTAATCATCAACGCTATCGCCCTCACATTTAGTACAGACCTAATACCCGTCTACTATCTGTGGGGTGGTATCAAGTGTAGGTAGTGTTAAAGCTTGCCGGCATTACTACCAAAATTTGAGAACACAACCAAGTACGGATTTTGACAGTTCTGTTTGTAAGTTCCTCAGAAATTCCTTGAGCTCAGATTTTACGTTCAGCTTGCCAAGGCTCCTCGAAATAACGTCGCTGTGAAAAGAACAGCAAAAACATTCTAAAATCTGGTTTCTCATGCTTTGCCCGTGGTTTTATGGCCTAGTTAATTAGGCTCTTCCCTCAATTTCTCGACTGTCGGATATAGACTCTATGTTAACAAGTAGATTCTCCGGGTATACAGCTGCACTATTATCCGCAGCCACAGCGTGTATGCTGGAAAATATCTTGAGAAGTGTCATGTGACTTGTTCGTACTCAAAGATTACGTACATTCAGAGATAATTCTTTGGCTGAGCCATTCCATTCCTTTCCTGACCTTAGACTACTTAGAGTCAGGCTTGAATATTCTTTGGACGTCCTGCCCTAACAGAATTTATCTTCTTTCATTTCGTCGCCGAGCACAATGAAAGCCTTCAAAATCGAACCTAATCGAGTGCTCAGCGTGAAGATCGTGCAGAATTAATTTACGTCTCAAACTGTGATAGACCGAGCTTCAAGATACTCTCATCATCACTGTTCGTCCGGGGAATTTCCTCAATTGCCTTAATGGTCTTTGGACATTCATGAATTAAGAAATCGATTAGCTTCTGAACTTCTGGATCCTCAGCAGCTCTGGCCTGTAGGTCAATCATACGACGTGTCAGCCACATCATTGTATCGTAGTATGGTCGTAAGCTTCGCGGGTTACACTTAGCTCGACGCACAACGAGAGGTACATTCATGCGGCGACCTGCCAACTTTCGCCGCTGAATTCGCCACTCTTGCCATCCTGGCATTAACTTGGCTTCACAGATCTGGAAAGCTAATTTATAATAATTCGAGTTTCGTGCCAAAATTTTGACATATTCATTCCAATTACGGCTATCCAGTTCAAAACCAACAGCAGTAGTATTTTGCACTGTCTGGTTGAGCTGTCCTACATTTTTCTGATCCACCATGGTTTTCATATAGATTCTGAAGGGTTCATTGATTCTGAGTTGATGGAAGTGGGGAATACTCCAATCTCGTGCGGTTTCGGATAATGAGATTTTTGCAAGTGGTGGTAGAGGTTTAGATTCTTCAAGAACTAGAGAAAGTGCCTTGTCCCAACAGTCAATGACTCCTTTAAAATCGTGTGATACATATTTGGCTGACATCATAGCTGTTAGTATTTTGATGGTTTCTCCAGCCTTCCGCCGGCGTTCCGGTATTTGAGCCTTGTATTCGTCCAAAAGGTCTAAGGCCACCTTATACTCCCCATACTGGCCGAGGATGAATGTAATAAAACCATAAAACATTGCAGGGTACATGATATCAACTGGAACCTGACTAGCACCTTTCCTAGCGGTTTCTGTGATATCCTGTAGATCTATAGATGCCATTGTTTCTGAAAATATATTAAAGGACCTCGCTATTTTTTGCTTTACTGTACCCTCCTTGAAAACCGCCGCGTCTTCTGCGTTCGCTGCTCTCATAATCATAAGTTGCGTGCTGACACTGCGCTTAATTTTACTTTTCACGATTCTCTGGTGCACCCAGTGAAACATTTTCCAGTCGCGAGTTGCCAGATATCCTCCTAGTAAAACGGCATAACTAAAGCTGGTTGGTTTTACTTGAGCCTTCGGCATTATTTCAAAAAGAATTTTAGCAGCAAGGGATGGCTGCCTTTTCATCACCAAAGCTTGCATAAGAGCTGAGTAAGTGTAATTATCATATTCTATTTTTTTCTCAGACATGATGGTGAAAATTCGATTGACGTTTTCTAAGTCGCAGTTTAAAGCATAACCAATCACCAAGGAATTCCACATGTTTGTTCTGGAACCAATAATATCACGTGTGGTGGACTCCAAGCAAATAGCTTCTGCTTCATCAAACCTGTCATTTCGTAGTAGACAAATGACTAGACAATTAAGCATCGCCGCACTTAATGGAATTTCCAAAATTTCGGCCATTTTACAAATATCTCTAGTTCGGACTAGGTCGGCCCTAGAGGCAAAAAGTGACATCATTGTACCTAGGGTGTAGTGGTCTGGCTTTAAAGTATGATCGCTAAGTATCTCTTCAAAGCATACATATGCTCTATCTGTGTCTTGGTTTTTTATGTATGAGCTGAGACGAATATTCCAGCAGAGTATATTCGGTTTAATAAAAAATAAAGTTTTCATCTGATCAAAGTTCTTTTCAACCTCGAAAGATTCACCTCTTTTAGCATGTACATGTAGAAGAGGCGCAAAATCATTTGCGGTTAGGGGAGCTGACTCGTCAATCTCTTCATAGAAATACGATCTACCAGATTTATCTAGTTTACTTCGCGAAGACACCTCACAGCGTGCTCGGCTTAATGTTTCATGATTGTTGTTTCTGTAGCGACTTATATATTGCTTGAAAAGGCCATGTACAGTCCTAGCATCTCCTTGCCTTGCAAACTCTTGAAGGCACATTCTATAGGCGGCTCGACTCGGCTTGCAATAAAGGAGGAAAAAATCATCAAGCACTTGCTTCATACCAAGTACATCGTGTTGTGAACAGAATAACCGGAGGACACTTATCAATGCAGATGGAGCTAGGGAGTAATTTTTATTTATTCGAAGAATTCTGTAGCTCTTTAAAAGAAGTAGATTGTAATCAGATTTTTCGAGTGAGTTTATAAGATTAGTGTAAAACTCTGTAGATATTGAATCCCATGTCGAAATAGCTTTGAGTAGGGCAAGATACTGTTTCTCCATTCCGGGTTTGGCCCTTGCAAATGCTTTCCCGATTATGGCTAATGCGAATTTAACGTGATCGGGGGACGGTGAGGTTTCGGGAGATGTCTTAGTGCTATTTACCCAACTTGTTAATGACAAAGCCGATTGGAGCCGTGTATAACCTTTATCAATAAATCTATAAAAGTTAAAATCTTGCTTCAGGCTTGGCTCAATCTTCCAAAAGCTGAAGGCTTCAGGCCATCTCTCATTGTCGACCAGGTAGCCCAAAATATAATCACAGCCAGCTGGGATCTTTAAATTTTTCACAGCAGATGAATATACTTGCATGGAGTTAGTAAGATCATTCTGTTGTAAATAAGCACGAGCCGCGTGCCGATAAACAAGTTCGTCTTTTTCTTGCAGGTCCATGTGATTGAACAATTCGATCGTCTTTTTAACATCCACCATCCGAGTTGACTTGTGTAAATACAGTGAGAGAGTATAGCGAATCTTTTTTCGATTTTCTTCATCTAACTTTCCGTATAAATTCCATGCTTTTTCCACATCAAAGTTTCCATCAAGCCCCAATTTCTTGCATAGGGAGGTTAGCTCTTGCCTTAAATTCTTCAATTCTAATGAATATTCAGAATAACCATCGCGTAACTTTGAAGCTACGACTGACGATGTAAAATGGCTATAGCTAAATCTTCTCGTGCAAGTATTTCTCGATCTCGAGTCTAATCTGCTAGTGCTGAAGCAAGTAATATTTTTGAAACATTTCAGAGTGGCAGCAGGATATAAAAAGTCCACAATTGTTGTAGATTGACGCTTTATCGATCGCTGATCTGTCACACTTATTTCTTTGGCTAAAATAGCAAGCCATGGTACGAGCTCAAGGTCGACTCTTCCATAGTTCCATAAGCCTGAAAAAACTCTACTTTGAATATTTAGTAGCTTTCTTTTCCGGAGCAACAGGCGTGGCAAACTGCCTGGTTCTAAGTATGCAGTCGTTCTTTCAATCATTACCCGTTCAGTGTGTAATCATGTTATGACTTAGAGTCCCTTTTCAGACTTATTCTGAGCTTATTTAGTCGATTGTACAAGCTTATATAGTCACTACCCATGATCAGCTAATACTTTAAGTTTTAATTCAAGAAATATCAAGCACAAACCACAGATTTTGTACTAGGAAAGATATTTCGTGGGCTTGCTTGGGCTGGACTCTACTGTTCATGACCTTCTTTGAAATCACAACACCCTTGACAATTGTACAGGGGTAACATTTTGGAGAATTCAAGCTGTTGTCCGGATGCTAAAATAAACTGCGGCCTTAGGCCTCCACCTACTCAACGAGATTCCAATTACTATCTTAATTCTAATTCCACCGACGGATTCCAAATCTATACTTCGGAATATGGATATCACAAATTTCGTATTTTCTGGGCGGGCGCAAGCAAAACTTTATGGTGATTGGGCAAGTTATAGGACACAGCTTTCCAACAAAATACAAAAGTTGCGGAAAAAACTAGGAATAGCTACAAGACCCCGGGCAAAGTTCGACAGCAGGGCGGCAATTACTCCAAGTGATATAGGACGCGATCATGGGTATTGATTCCCAAGACCCTGAGATTCCGATTTCTGACAGCTGATTGTGTTCGAGATTCTGCCATCTATTACTTCTCACGTCTGAGCGGGCTTGGGCGCATGCTATGTTGATGCGGGAAAACAATTCATCAGATAAAACTAGCATAACTGGCCCCACAAGATCACACATCATATCTCGACTAAGGAAATCTATTCTCCATGCTAAAAGCCTGTATGAATTATTAAAAGAGCAACATCTGACTGGAGCCAGCACAAATGATATTCTTGAGGCTCGCGCCTACGCTACTTCACTTTCTGGTGCTTTAGAACTTGAGAAACGAGACTGGGAAAAATGTCTAAGAGAATACTCTGAGACCAGAGTAATATACAGTGCACTCGGTTCAGCCACAAAAAATGATATATTTAAGGACCTACTGTCAGATCCTGTGGATCTCAGTATCCGCTATAGTGCATACAAGCTTCAACTGCCTCGAAAAATTGCAATACCTACGATAGCTAGTCGATACTTTCCTCGATCTGACGATAATCTTGTCGATGAAATAAAAAAACTAGATCCAGGTGCCCTGGATGACCACTTCCTTGAATTAGAACATGGAAAAGCGGGGTCAGATGCATTTCCAAAGACAATCACGTGGAGATCTCAAACAATAGATCTGGATGATTCCTCAATCGCAGCTGCAATTATGTCAGTCAATGAAGCTGTGAAAAGACTTTCTAAAAATCTCGCTTCTATTTCCAGCGAGAAAGTTCGTGAGCGTGCATTAGCCTATGATGAGGCTCTAACTTTGAGTCAAGATGCAGTTGATGCAACTAAACAAGCGATTGATGAACTCTTAAGCGAAGGAATCAGTCAAAGTGATCAGCGTGTACAAAGCCTACAGATTACCTTGACTGCCCTCAGTTATGACATGATAAGCTGGCGAATAGGTAGAAATAGAACTCTTGTGGGTGACAGGGACGGTGCAGAAACTGCAGGGACTTCAGCCGATTTGGACAAAAATGCATCTATAAAACAGGTTAGGGAGCAAATGACCAGCCGGAGGTTATCTCGTCTGCGAGAAAACGTTGTACTGTACGACGCCATTCTCCAGAGTATTTGTTCAATGAAAGAACTTCCTGGTGTTGCGGCAGACACCACGCTTGTTAAAGAGCTAGAATCAAGATATGATTATTTTTCATCGCTTAAGTAAGTTATATCTTTATCTTTAGCTCAAGTCACTACCTTACCCCTTCTTATCTAGATACCTTACACTGGCAAGCTCTCACAGTCTCTTACTGAGCACAAAAAATGCGTTGGCTTTGCTTGCGCGAGCACAAGAACATCTTAATAAGTCGCAAACGAATAAGTCGTCATTCAGGGAGGAAACTCAGCTTCCTTTGAAGATTTCAGTGACTACAACAGAATTCCAATACCTAAGGATTCTAATAGAAAAAGAGATGCAACGTCATAGAGCACTAGTAATCCTTGAAAACCTGAGTGAAAATGAGCTGCAAAGCCGACTGTTTCAGGACAATTCTCCTCTGGCAGGAAATTTGCAAAAATATCCTAACAAAGGTGTTGATCTCAGTAATCTTGTCGTTTACCCATCAAGCTTGGACATCGCTCCTATTAAACCTTTGTTTTTTGATGCTGCTTGGAATTATATTAGTTATCCTGGAAAAGAAGTTAAGGAAGATATGAACAACAAAGCACATGTAGTAGGACCTCTGGCTGTAAATGAAGATAAAATCAACCAAGGAAAGAGAGGATGGTTTGGTTTCGGGCGCTAGGCTGTCCTAATCGAAACAAAATTGATCTAAAAGTTCCAAGAGCAATCAGAAAATCAATATTCACGTGGAAAACCTGAAGATCTAATCCTTGTATGAAATTCCCAGTACACAACATTCTACCATTACTTAAGGGAATAAATTAGACTAATACCGTTACCAGAATCTTCAAAAGATACTGACCGGCTACGGGAATTATTTCTGCTAAAACTTTTTTGCACCCCTCTGAGATGAAAATATATTCAACTCTCTCATCTCCACCAACCTTGGGGCTTCGTTCTTTAATAGGAAATTAATACTAACCTCGTTATCAACCATATCCAACCCTTGGCGTAAGATAGAAGAATAGTTGTTCTGTTGGCCCACGCAAGCTTGACGCGCACGCGTACAAATTGTGGCTTTTTTGGATTTTTTGGTTTATTAATGTGCTGGGCAAATGGCACTCCCTTTTGTAATTCCGAGGTTGCATGGAAAAATATTGTTTCAGGACAGTATATAGAGAATAATGTGGAATGAAAATTCTGGTGGGGAGTGAATGTATTTAGATTATCCGAGGATAAATGTTTATCTAAATAAGACGGCATGGTCTACATAGGGAGTAAATGAATCTGGTTATATACATGTCTAATCTGCTCTACAGCAATGCCCGTTTAGTATCCGATGTACTCATGTATTGCGTATCGATATTATTAGATCCTTAAGCTCCAAATAATTAGTACGACTCACATTTGAGTCATGCATCAATATGAGCTTATTTTTTAAATCATTTAATGTGTATTCAGCTATCTAGCTACGACACAAAACCGGTGCTATGTAAACTTGTAGGATGATTCGTTTGACGTTTGAGACACTCATACTCTGAATTTCATTCGCAAATACCACCATGAGGTATGTTAGCTTACACAAACAGTCGATCCTGCTCCGTAAGCACCCACCAAAGGGAAATTCGTAACCTTTGACCATCAAAGTATGCCTTCGTCATCCATGCATACCAGCGCCGCGAGAAAAGTGGTTTTGTTTTGCTGGATTTGAACCAGCGATCTACTGTCTCAAGTAGGATATAAGTCCAAGCTATCCAGACCTTACTTGGCAGACCGGCCAAGACGATGTACCACCGCACCATCCAACCATGGTAGTTTGTTTAATGTCGCCTGCACTCTGGCAACCGAAGACTTGGCACGCACAAAGCTCAATTTGGAAAAATTCCTTTCCAATATTCGAAATTCCACGCTCGTCGAGACTGTATCCATCCTCTGCATCATCTTATCGACGTGTCCTGATCCCTCTCACATCCATCCCATGGAACTGTCTCCCAGATTTGTGCGCCACGCTTTGCTTCCTCCGTCGGGTGTAAATACCGGCGTGGGCTTGTATCTGGCGACTAGCTAAGGCCAGAAAAAGTCGACAAAAGGTGTGGTCATTGGAATGAGGATGTACTAAGTCGTACTTGTAGACTTGATGAGGCTTAGGTAGGAACCGATTTCATTGGGAGTGAAAGATTGATATGGTGAAGTATTTTGAATCATTGCCTCGTGGGTCAACTTGTTCGGTATTGCGAAGTTTGACTGAACTTGGCTCTGGGAGAATATTACACTTCCGGGTTCGTAGAGGACACCACGTACAGATGTCTAGTCTTGCCCTCCACCCTATGTGTCACTTACACTTTCCACACTATTAGTCGTGATCCGAACATGACACTCTATTAGTCAACTTCTACTTATGTTCCTTGAATATTGCGCCCATTTCAGCGCGCGATATTTGCAACTATACTACCCATGATGGATAGCCATTCAACTCATTATTTACCTATGGTGTTGAATTATAGGAGCCTTGGTCAAACATAATTATCCCTGCACCTTAACATAACAGAGTTATGGCTGCGATTATTATTATTTTTTGAAATTTATTTCATTTAACCCGATTTGGCGCCCTGTGGGCCCATGCAAGCGGCTATGAACCTATCTAAATATGTACATGAGGGGGAAACCATTACGATAAAAACTCCCTCCCCCTATTAATTTTTATTCCATCTATAGTCCTTCGCTAACTATAGGAAGGGCAATTGGCCTTCAGTTCGAGACAGGACTATCTAAAATTATACTGGACCTTGCCATTTTTTCCCTGCCCTCGCGTGCTGAAAACAGACGACTGTAGTCTTAAACTTGACCCCGATGGTCCAAATACTTGTGGTGATGGGTTGACCAGGAGCTGTTTGCGCGGGCGTCCTGGCCCTCTCTTTCGTACCTTCGCCATTTGGTGGGACACCAGTGTGAACCCTTGGTAGTCTGTAGATTTTGCCGTGGTTGGTATTGTAGATACCGTTGTTATGGTATCTTTTCTGAATTCTGCCGTTCTCTCCATTAGTTCATACCGTGTCCGTTGAACGCTGGCCTTGTATGCTGCGAAGTTTTGACACGCCCCCTTCTGCCACGATTTATGGTCCTTGCCGCAATTGCAGCAAAGCACCGACTTCCTTGGGCATTCCCTGGTCCGGTGAGTGCGCGGGCACTCACCACATCTCCTTACCCTTGTGCAAGAGGCTTGGGTATGCCCCCATTGACAGCAGTTGAATACTGCTTGATTTGCGCTCGGGGTGACCAGAGCTGGGCCGGGTACAGCATTGAGTTGTATACAATGCCGTCTCTTATCACTTCGCGTTGAAGTGCCTCTGTCGGCAGACTCGCGACGATTGACCCTCGAGTATGGCCGTTAGCTCCCATCCATCGGTGCTCCTTTCCGTCGAAGAGCCATCTCACCCTGTCGATTTTTAATTCAGGTCTCCGAAATTTTGTTTCTACCTCAACTTGGTTTATAAACTCGCCGTTATTTGGATTTTTGCCTCCTCTTATAAATGTCCCCGTGGGGATCCCCAAAATCTCAACAGGATAATCCTGCTTCAAGACGCAGAACTCCTTTGGCTGCACCATACTCAAGGCAGCGTCTCGCTGAGAGACCGACTGCACAAAAACCTCCGTTTCATTGCTCCGCAGCTTCCTTACTGCGTATGTTGTTTGTTCATTAAAGTGCTAGGTGAAGTGACTACCGTCGCACTTCTGCTGGAGCTTGAGCACGAGTGGGGTCGGGCCGGATCAGGTTAACTAATGTAAAGTACAAGTGCCTCGTCCCACCTCAATGACCGGAACCATGCAGAAACGCATCTATGTGTTAAAGCATGACGAATACAGTAGCCCAGAGTTGAAAACAAAACAAAAGAAAACTTCCACGCAAAATCCTGCATTACAAAAGAAAAACTTTGACAATCTCCCTTCCACTGTTCCGCCTCAGCCAACTCGCGCCTGAGCCTCGAATCCAATCCCTCTGTCCATGCCAAACCACCTAGGCCTTTGATCTATCACCTCCGAGTCACAGGTATCCCTGCCATTCCCCGACTAGCCTCCGCGTATATTCCACTCTCCTGGACGTAGTCTCTGACTAGCTGCCATCCCCTTGATCCGAGCATTGTTTCCAGAGCCGGCACCCTACGCTTTCCGCTTTTCAGCCGCCATGCTGCCAGTGCTTTTCGACACTGGACAAGGTGAACAATTGATTTTTCCCTCCCGCACTCGCAGTAGAACTTGGCGTCAGTGTGGTTGAAGCGGCGATGATATACCGCAAAGTCCCCATGTCCAGTTCAAGCAGCGATTAGGCGGGAGTAGACCGCTCTAGGTAGCGCTAGTTCTTACGGTTTCTTGCGCCGCATCTCGTGTTCAAGATCGGCGTAATGTTTTGGGCGATTCGAGTGCCACCAGTCTGTTAACATCTGCCAGTCCAGTTCACGGGCTTTCCGTCCAGATGAGGCGAGGGTCATCATACCATGTGTCATCCTAGAGTTGTCCGGCGAGTTAAGCTCTCTTCAAGCGAGTTCATCGGCGATTTCATTTCCTGCCAGCCCTTCGTGGCCCGGAATCCATCCTATTTTGACAGGCGCGGCTGATCCCGCGGCCAGTTTCACGAAATTTTGGATAAGCCAGGATGATGAGCCCGTTGTTCTCGTCAGTAAAGTCTTAACAGCAGTAGAATTTTCGAGCAGGAGATAGATGGCGCTGCGTCCTCGATCTAGATTGCTGGCAGTAATTGTTTCTAGAGCAGCCAAAGCTCCATGAACCTCTGCGTCGTAGACCTCCGCATTGGTAATTTTACCTGAGCCGCTTTGCTCAATTGTCGTACCTGTGCCACTTATAAAGGTCACAAAGTGTGACGGAAACCAAGTTAGTGATGAATAAATCGATTTAATAAACTATATGAGGAGAAAAGCTAACTCTAGCTACTACTAACAGGTATTTATAGGAGTTAATCCTCCTCGTGAATCTACAGACTAGTGACTTGTCCTCAGGCTCAATACTTCTACCCAGCCACGTATTTCCAGGTGTCACTAAGTTGTAATGACGCTTCAGCCTCCTGAGTAGTAGTGCCGTTTTGTTCAGCTTCATCTCCACCCCCATACAGCCTCATTGTAAGGATTCTTAGTATCAGGCTTAGGTATCCACCTAAGCTCAAACAACGGTCAAACCGTAACACAAAGGCCCATGACACTTTGTCGGTGGACGCCCCAGAACCATCACTGTACACGCAGAGACAGTCGGGTGGGAGTGTAGGCAGCCACTCTCTTATGAACTTGGCAGCCTCTTTCTTGCTTGTCCAGCAGGGAATTGGCTGAGGGGGGACCGGAGGTCGGAGCGGTGGAGGTAGTTCAGCCTCTGGCAGAAGTCGGTACATCCTCTGGACTCTCGAATCATGAACTCTGTCCAGACCAAGTCTGGTTTTGTTGCATGTCTTTAGTCCAAGTCGGTGGCGAGCGCTGTCAGTGCTTTCCGTGGCCCGAAGTCGAAGCGGATGGTACTCATCTAGCCTTCGGATTCGTGCGGCAGTCTTGAGCCTGCGTTCCTCGAGCAGAATTTGTGCTGGCGGAATACCAGTCTCTCTTCTCAGGGCTGCAATAGGCATCGTGCGCCAGGTTGGTAGAGCCATGCGGATTCTGAAGGCAGAAGTTTGGTCAATAACTT